TATGTGACACAAAAAATAAAATTAATATTAATTAATTCTTGTGTTTATTTCAAAAACAGTCAGCAATTATTATATACATTACATATACAAGTTATATTAATTAATATATTTTTTCTACTTAAATTCTATTTAAAAAAAAACAGTAATATAATTACAAAAATAATAATTATTTAACTCTCTCTTGATGCAAGAAAGCTGTTTTTGCAATAAACACTCTAAACAAGAAATTATTTAGAATGATGAGTGATTAATATGCATCACGTTTGTACCTCAGTGCTTGTACCCTGCCAGCTGTGAGAAAAATTGGATCCTCTAATGTTGCTTTTAAAATAGCCAAAAAATTAGCCGCTTGATCTTCATCAATCGCTCGTCTATCGTATGATAGTTTTACTGACATTTTCGTTACCTTCATTAATGACAAATCTGCAAGCATTGCAAAAGTATTATTAGTAGCTAAAAAAGTTAGTTTGGTATTATCCATAAAATTTTTATAAAGTTTTTCGCAAAAATTACCCAATTCTTCGCGTCCCGCGCCTACAGCAAGAATAGCAGTTTGTGGAGGATTTATAATAGCGGAAAACTCTTTGATGCCAAACATTCCCAAATTCGATATTCTGTACAATAAAATTGCATATATAGTATATATACACGTACACATATGCAAACATATTTTACGTGTATTATCGATCAAGGCTTACGTAAATGTTCCTCCTTGGAACTCGTGTGGTTTGAGTTGTCCCTTCCTCGCTTTTTCGGCTAATTCTCGAATATTTTTAGAAATATCTGTTAAGCTTTTAGTGGCAGTATCGAATACTATTGGAGTAATCAGGCCATTTTTTGTAGCAACTGCTATAGACACATCCACTTTTGGAACTCGAACAATCTAAGAGTTATCGATTGTTAATATGATAATTGAATTGCATAGCTTAACACAATTATATCGTATATTATATAGTAAAGTTAATCGTACTAACCTGTTCATTTTGATATAACGTATTTATATCAGGACATTCAACAAGTGCATGAGCCACAGCTTTGGTAATAAAGTCGTTAACTGACACACTTATATCCTCTGTCTTTAATTTTCCACGTAGTTCGAGTAATTTGTCGATGTTTATATCCATAACTGCGTAAGAGTGTGGTATAGTTCTCTAGAAAAGAAAAATTGCTTCGATTAAATTAAATAATTAATTACAAATGTAATGCCATACCTTCGATTCTCCAAGTCGTTTAGCGATAACAGCACGAATGTTGGATATTTCAATATCTTCATATGGAGACGGTCGACCAGATGGGACAGATACCTCTTCTAAACTTGGCGTTTTAACAACTTCTGGAGGAGGTGCTGTAAAAAAATAGTCATAAAATAAATATTGGGTTGTCCAGAAAGTGCCGATTTTTGATAGGTGGCGTAAGGACAGGTCTGAATATATCAGAACGATTGAAAACAAATGAC